GCTGTTTTTGTTTGGTTGTTCAGAGCGATTGGGGCAATGTGGGGTACCGTGTACGGGTCATAGTGGGGTATGACCGATGAGGTACCCCACTTTGTCCCTATTATTATCATGTTATTATATCCATGTATACAGGGTGTTATTGAAATACACGTACATATTAAAACTGGGTATTGCGCAGATCCCCACTGAATGTAGAAAAGTATTATTTTTTAAAAATACCCCTTATTAAGGGAGTTATTAATTTTTGAAAATTAATTCTAAAACAAACGTACTTCACTGATATGTTGAGGATGACCTATATAAATTAGGTTTATTTACCTATTTTAAACATCAACAGTAATTAATATGCAAGTTTTTGTCAGATGATAAGAAAACTAGTCTTGTAAGAAATAACCATGTTGCCAAGATTTTCGAATTAATTTCTATTTCCGAAGACTGGTTTTTACTACCCTCGTTATCAAAAAACTAGAATATTTGATAAATGATTGTTTTTAAACTATACATTTTTGAAACTATAGATTATTAAAATTTTAGTTGATTTACGAATCTGGCTAACACGAGCGCGTCATTTCCAAGTTGGTAAAAAGTGTTGTTACGATTACTTTTAAATATTTTTTTTACGATGCCACTATTTACGAATATTGTGAACTAACGGATATAGTGCTGGTTTATGGGGCAGCTGGAGAAAATTCTCGGCAAGCACAAATCCTGTATCGCGAACGGTTTCCAAATCGGAGAATTCCGGACTGTCGTACGTTTATTTCAACTGTTCAGCATCTAAGAGACCATGGAAAATTTGAGAGTGTCAATGCAGATCGAGGGAGAACAAGAACACAAAGAACATTGGCGGCCGAAGAAGAAATATTGGAAGCTGTTGAAAACCGGCCTCAATTAAGTTGTAGAAGACTAGGTCTTGAAATTGGAGTGTCCTCATTTGTTGTGTGGCGGACACTTAAAGAACAAGGTTTACATCCTTATCACATCCAAAAAGTCCAGGCCTTATATCCAGGTGATGAAGAAAAGAGAGTGGAGTTTTGTGAATGGATGATTCAAAAATGTGTTGATATTCCTGATTTTCTAAAAATATTATTGTATACTGACGAGGCTTCATTCACTCGTGATGGCGTGTTCAATATGCACAATACGCATATTTGGAGTGATGAAAATCCTCACGCCATTAGGGAAACTGGGCATCAAAGAAAATTTTCAATAAATGTTTGGGCTGGCATAATAGATCAGTATTTAATCGGGCCTTATGTTCTCCCGAACAGATTAAATGGGCCAGGATATCTCCACTTTCTAGAAGATATTTTGCCAGTACTCCTAGAAGAGATACCGTTACAATTAAGGCAACGGATGTGGTACCTACTAGATGGCGCTCCTCCTCACTTTGATTTAAACGTACGGCAGTTTTTGAACATTAGATTTCCTCAAAAGTGGATAGGCAGAAATGGACCTACTAAGTGGCCTCCGAGATCTCCTGACTTAAATCCATGCGATTTCTTTTTGTGGGGTCACATGAAACAACTGGTTTATAATGAACCTATTAATAGTGTTGAACAATTAACCAATAAAGTTAATGCGGTAGCCGAGGAACTACGACAAAATCCAAGACTAATTTCTAATGTTCAAAGTTCTTTGGAAAGACGATTGCAAGTGTGTGTAAATAATAATGGACGGCATTTTGAACAATTACTGTAATAAACTTTATTTTGAATTAATTGGTTTTGCTACGGCAACAGTGCAATTTCTATGGGTAAGTTCAATTTCGATTTATTTTACTTCTTTAAATATGGAAACTAGTAGGTCGGAAAAGGGGACTCTTCCCCAATATTTACATTTTAGAATTTGAAGTTAAAATTGGTGCCAATCGTTTTTGATCATTACATACTATTCCCCATTTTAATATGTACGTGTATTTCAATAACACCCTGTATATTTGTTACAGCCAAAATGGTTTCGGACGTATAAGAAGACCACAAACCAACATTCTTGGTCTTCAGAATCTATGGAAAAAGCAGTACAGAGTGTTATATCGGAAAAAATGGAATATAAAAAATCGTTAAAGGCCCATGGCGTTCCACAAACCCTTGAACGATATGTTCTTCAGCATCGGCGTAATCCTGATAATCCCGTATTTAAAAAGAAGCTGGCCCATTATACAACTGTATTTTCTCAACAACAGGAGGACGAATTGGTTCTATATACAAAGACAATGGAAGCGAGGTTTCATGGTTTGATTTCTCTTGAACTTAGAAGACTCGCGTATGAGGTAGCAGAAAATATCAAATAGCTCATAAATTTAATACAGGTAAAAGTCTAGCAGGGGTAGACTGGCTAAAGGGTTTTTTAAAGAGGCACCCAGATATTAGCTACAGAAAACCAGAATCCACCTCCGCAGCCAGAGCTATGGGTTTCAACAGAGTGACTGTTGAAAAATTGTATCAGCTTTTGGAAGATGGTATTGACACACATAAACTAACCCCACATCGTAGATTCAATACAGATGAAACAGGTGTTTCTACAGTTCCCAAAAGCCACTCCAAGATTCTTGCTTTCACCGGAAAGCAGCAGGTAGGAACTTTAACTTCTGCCGAAAGGGGAAAATTAATGACCACCATAATTTGCTTCAGTGCAGTCGGTAACTACATTCCACATTACAATAACATGTAATATTCTAGTCTCTACTACACATTTAAATATATTGATATTTTAAAGATTTGAGATTTTATAGGTACCTATTTGATTCAAGTAGGTATTCGTTAAATATGTATTATTATTTGTATTTATTTTGTTCTAATAATATTTATTTAAGTTATTAATAAATACATTTTAAGAATGTTATATTTATTATTTATTGATATATCTTATACTGTAAAAGGTCTTTACAAAAACGTACCATATATTCCTTAGACCAAAATAAGTCGATTTAAGTAAAATTACCTTAGTACAAAGTTGCTTCGTTTGGGCTGCAGAGGGCCTTGAAGTTACAATTTTTAAATCGTTTTTCCCATATAAATTTAAAACGGCTTATGCGATTTTGCTGAAATTTGATATATTGGTAGAGTTTTATGTGGCAAAAAAAATGGTATTAAAATTTTGTCCGATAATATTACATAGGCGTAGAACTTGATTTTTTAAATAATTGCACCTTTAAAAATTCTACGCCAATGGAAAAAAAGGGGTTTGAGTATGAAATTTCATTTGATTCTAAAGTTAGTTAATAGTTTTCTGCAATTATGATACCAATTGGCTTCATCTTATCAACAACTATTTTTTCCTACGACCTCTATCGCACTACTCGTATTAAGTTTCACGGGAAATTCCCTATATCACACGCGTGTGGATAAATCTACTTTCCACCTGTGTGTGAATATGAATGTACTTTGCGCATAAGCTAATAAATATGTCAAACGACTAATTTCTATTTTGATTGATGTAATATCCATTTTAATAGTAAAATCGATTTGATGATTAAACAAAACATTAATTTTTAAATTTAGATCTTAGATCTCTTTCGACGAGTTATTAAAAGAATACCTACATTATTTTTGCTTTTTCCTGATTCGTATACATATTTAATTAACTAAATCAAATGGCAAAACCATAATAGCGCAGATAGTAGAATGCCTAACTTTTTCATCATGGCATTTCGCGACCATTTTGTGACGCTGGTTCAATTTCCGATGAATTATTCTTTTTTTTTATTTTCTCTGGTAAAAAAAACATAAAAATGCACATGAGCCCCTTTTACTCCTGTACCCTTCATGTACAAATTGGGTTATCCCCTTTTTGCGACAATGTCTTGTTTCGCATAAAGTAGATTTAATTATACAGGTAATTAGGATATTAAAACTATCTCATTTGGTTACAATAACATTACGAAGAGAACAACTGTAACATAATTTGGGGGTACTTGAAACCAATATATTTTCTACCGTTCTTATTTTACACTCTTTTTTCTTTCCTAAAATATTTATTTCCAATAATAGTCCAATAATAGTTTTCTTCTTCTTCTTCCTTTCCTTCTTCCTCTCCTTCTTTTTCTTATTCTTCTTCATTTTCTTCTTCTCTTTCTTCTTTTTCTTCTTGTGGAACCATGGAGGTTCCTTACTGAACAGTGTTAAAAATTTGTAACCAGGCGATTTATGGTTAGCACTGAGGGCACATTAAAATATCAACGATATGCACACTGCGTCAGAATAATTGATTTTCCCTTTGAAAACAAAAACTCAATGATTTTTGTTTGTTGTTCTGTTGTCTTTTGTTCCATTTCAAATTTCCCAAGTCTTCTTTTCACAAGTCTAAAGAAATGAAAACTGCAATATTAAATAAAAGTTATAAAGCATATTAAATAAAAGTTATAAATCATAACATTCATTTTGAACTACATTACAAAGCTTACAACAGCTACAACACAAAATAAAAAACAAAGCTGAACATGAACATGGCTGGAAACAGCAAAGCCTGGAATTTGTTTACTGTACTTTAGGGCAACCTTTCATTGTCATTTACGTGTGTAAGAGTGAAAGGTTGAATTATGCACAATTTCTACACTCGTCATTGATGATCATTCTACCCTCTCTACTTCTTTGAGTATTACTTACATATTATGACCAGCAATAACAGAAAGTTGGTAGCTGCCGAAATATTGCTTCAACAGCCAACTGTCAAGGTATCAGTCCCACAACAGGTCTGATAAGGTCTCGGTGGACAAGTATAAATAATGCAAAACTCCTTGCAAAATTATCTATCAAGGTCCCAAAAAATTCATGCGATATTCTAATCCATCCAGGGAAAAATGTATGAAGAAACAGTGATATTAGTGCTTGTAACCCCTGATTTCTTCATTCTAATCCACAAATGCTTTACCAATCGACAAACAAATATACCTAAATTACCACCACAATTAAAAAAAAAACTTTAGTAAACTAATACTCATCAAAAATATCAAGCTAATATCTATTAAATTCTCTAATTATAAAAATCTTTTATTTCAGGTTTCAAATTTAGGAGGCAAATCCTTGATCTACTGCGTGGCAGGGGTCAGTCGTTCCGCCAGTATTTGCATAGCTCACTTGATGAAATATCATCGTCTAAGTCTACTAGATGCATACAACTACATTAAACTTCGACGGTCTAGGATAAAACCAAATTGTGGCTTCTTCAAGCAACTCATAGAGTACGAGAAACAACTTTTTGGCTGCAACACAGTTCAAATGGTTTTCAATGAAGTTGTCCAGATGGAGATACCAGATGTTTATGATAAAGACTACAGGCCTATTACTAGTTTTGTTAAGAAAATTAAGAATAGGAGATATTAGACAATAGGTGTATAAAGAAAAATGTGATTTTAGAGAGTAACAATTAATGTATAATGCTGAATGTTAACTTTATTTTGAATTTAGGTAATTTCTAAAAAGGAATTAACTATAAAGCAAACCAAATGTGTTCAACTAAATCGTTTAAAAAAAAAGATATATATTTATAGTGACTGTAAATTTAGTATTAAGTATTATAATAATAAATATACCTAAGTCTACAAGTGAAATAAAAATTTTTGTACACTAAATTAATATATTTTTTTTTAAATTTTGTGAGATAATATGGGAATAACAACGCTGGGACAATCGCCACATTGTACCAAAGTTAAAGACTAAAGATATCAATACCAAAAGCGATATATATCAAAATGAAATTTTTAGTAAAAATCAAGGTCTATAAACGATTCTGAAAAAATTTGCATATAAATAATAGGGTTAAAGTGGATGAAATATTAAAAAAATACGTGTGGCACTCGGGGACTGCCGCGGTAAAGCTATTGCATAGCATTTTTTATCAACTTATTCAATTATAATTATTTATTTATTTTATTTATGCACTATTTTTTTTCTATGATATTAATTCAAGTTTTTTGTTTGATAATAATTCAAGTTACACTTTTTGAGCGTGGTGACCGATAAGAAAACAATTTTTTTTCTTTTATTGAATAAATGAGAAGTTAATATTGTTTAAAATATTTTTAATCTTACAATACATGTAGGTTATTCAGGAATTTTTATCTATGAAACTATAGGTTTATTGTAACTGAAATAAGAAACATAGGTTTGAGACTGATATCCTCTAAATATCTGGAAAATACCGCGTCAATGGTGATTCCATATTTTGTTGTGGATTCTTGTGAATCATTATTCATTTTCAAATTTGATTTTTCCGAAAGAAAAGTTGTCAAGTGCTCTGATTTTTTAACAGCGAAGTTGATGTTGAAATCGCCAGCCAAGATAAGTGGAAATTTATTACCATTTGTACCAAGTATTTTCGACCTTTCTTCAGTGTAGTCTAGTAAAGTGCGATGAATAAAATGCTCTACCGCGCCCAATTTTGGATTCGGAGAAATGTAAATTGCTACCATGACTATGTGTAGTCTGCCGATCTAAAACGACGTTAGACGATGCACGGCTTTCAACGCCGCATCGCTGTGCCGGTCGGAGTGGGGGGGTTAGGTTTATTTTCGTTGCGGAATTTCTTGATTCGGTCGCCGCGCTCGAAGCTCGCGATAAAAGCTATGCAATAGCTTAAAAATCTCAGAAACAAAAAACGATATCAGCTTGAAATCTTCGGGAAAAATTAAACTCTATTGATTCTGAAAAAAATCTGATTAAAATGGAGGGAGGGTTAAAGGAGGTTTGTTAAACTGTGAAGAGTGTATTATGTATTGTCAGGCATTATATATCTTCATTCTAGATTATTTTAGTTTTTACTTCATTTTTACTCATGCTTTGCTTTATTTTTACTTTATATTTACTTTATTTTTACTTTATTTTTACTTTATTTTTACTTTATTTTTACTTTATTTTTACTTTATTTTTACTTTATTTTTACTTTATTTTTACTTTATTTTTACTTTATTTTTACTTTATTTTTACTTTATTTTTACTTTATTTTTACTTTATTTTTACTTTACTTTATTTTTACTTTACTTTATTTTTACTTTATTTTTATTTTATTTTTACTTTATTATTACTTTATTTTTACTTTATTTTCAAAATCACCTGGTTTTACAAATTATTAGAAAAACGACACTGATTAACGTTAAAATTAAATTATGTAGTACCCAGACAGCACACATAGTACAATGGACGTCCACTTTAGATCTATTTAAGGGGCAGAACGTCTATATCCGTATTCCGACATCAAGTGAGGTCATTAATTTGGCAGCTGCATATCGATATCCAGAAGGCGTCTGTTTTTAGACAATTTTGAGTTTAGTAATTTATCATTAAAAATGTACAAATTGAATTTATTGCATTTCCTTCTATCAGCGGAAGTTTGAGATCTTATTCTATTATAACCATATCTATTAAAAAAATTCACCTTGGCGGGAAGAGTCCACGCATCTCAGTTGGCACACATCAAATCGCCATTGTTTAGGGTTCCGCTACGATGATGACAAGATTTATTATCACGCAACGTTGCCAATTTGAGAAGTCGGGTATCGAGTGTAACCGGACACTCAATTCGGCTCCAGATAGTTAGCATTAGAGAAAGAGTTCGAAAAAGTTTTGGAACTATACTATACACGTTAATTTTTAATCTCTTTAAAAAGCATTTTGTAAAAGTTTCATGTTTCCTGCCATGGTGACGGAATACTACTTGATAAAAACAACTGAACGAGTTCAAATTGGCAATCATTCAGGTTGATTGTATTAGTTAAGACGTTCTATCTACAAAACCAACATTCTATGTATTAATAAAAACACTTCGTTTTATACTCAAAATCTCAAGTTATTTCTAGAAGGAGTACCTACCAACTTTTCCTCACACCAGCGACTTATACAGGATACTATTATCTAAAGAAATATTGGGAATAAAACCAGTATTTCTTCAGTAAGAGAAAAAGTATGCGGTTCCAACCTACCCCCCAACCTAATCACAAACCAGTTTCTTTACTGTCTAATCAGTTCCTAAGTCTAAAAAAGAACGAATAGTCAAGACATGCACAAAACGAAAGTGAGTTAGTAAATAAACAACAACCAACTCAGGAAATTTCGTGATTATGCAGAAAAATTATTCAATTCTAGAAATTTTCCGATTTACCCTCGTATATACCACGTCGTCCAATTGACGTTTTACATGTCATCATTTTTTTACATTTCATACTCCCAAAATTTTTAGTGAAATCTTTAAAAATGCATTCCTCAAAAAGGGGAGAAAAATTAAACAGATATAACGCAGATAGCAAACCAAGCACATTCTATTCATTTGTAGAAAAATTCGTCGCACCAAACTGGTCTAACGTTTTACTGGCTGTCCTAACTGGGTTTTGTGTGAAGGATTACTATTTCGAAATTACTGGCAAAGATATTCAGCACTATGCATATGCTTCTTATCTGTTAACTATAGCGAACTCTTTAAGTGGTTTACTTAAATACAGTAAGTACTCACTTTTCTTTATTAAGAAATTAGTAATAAAAATATAATCATCGGATACTTGACATTTATGGTGATATGGTACTAAACAGTAGGAACTGTGTATCCACTATGCTCCATTTTTTTTTTTAGAATCTTCCAAAAGTAACTTCCCTTACAAACACCATTCTCCTGTTGGGAAACTTTATTTTTAGAAATAGTCTTGACTTTGGATGTAGACAGCTTCTGAGACTTGACGTTCATTGTAGAATGTTTTTGAGATTTTATCTTGACTTTCGAGCTATTAGTACCTAACGTAAAAGGTTAATTCAGTGAGGAAGCATCATCAAAATAATTGAGACATAAAGTATAGCGTCTTTGTCAAATGGACACGCCCCAGTATTTCTAAAAGCATGTGTGATATTGGATCGACAGAAACTTGCGATAAATGAGAGTGAAAATTTTACCTGTTGAGTTTTTCTGCAGGATGTTCTTTTATAAAATGAAATAAACTCTTAGACCAATTGGCCTTAAGAGATTTATATACGCTCAGATCTAGGGGTTGAAGCAAATGAGATATGTGCACCAAAAAAGTGAATAATGTCACACTTTGGCTAGAACAATTTCTGTTGCGTTTATATCAGAGTGAAGAGAATCTATCAAAAAATGAGCTGGAGGAATTGATTTATTAAAGACTTGGAACCACCCCACAAATAAATCATTGTTGATCCAACCCTTAGGAGACAGTTTAACTAGTGTATCGGAAAAACAGTCTGATTTTAAATTATCATTCCATAAAATTCTTTTAAAAATTGTTAGAGGAGGAATCCATGTCCCGTCAGCAAAGATACAACCAAGAAGTGTATGTGTCCCATATCATCATTTCGTTACCTTAACATGTAAACCTTCTAACTTCATTCGTAATAATTTTACAGGAGAAGCAAAAACTGTTTCATTTAGATATTAGAAGAAAAAAATAATTAGATATTATTAAGTCTTTATTTAAAAGAAACTGTGCCTTCTTATGTTGCCAGTGAATTTGTTCCGCTTGTTCACTACCGGTCGAGCAGAGGTTTTGCATATCCCAAATACAGGTTCGGCTCCTGTGAATGGTAGTTCTGATACCTCTCTAGCGACTTCATTAGCCTTTTTATTTCCTTGGATACCTGTATGTCCTGGTACCCACTCTAGTTGTACCTTATTGTGAGTTGCCAGATCATTTAGTATTCCAAAAGGCAGTTCCAGACCAGCTTTGACCTGAATCTGTTTAGCTATCTGAGAGACAAGATAGTGTGTTTTTTATTTCCTTCTTAAATTCTCTCGAACACACAATTCGATTGCATGTATTTCAGCCTAAAATACAGTGGCATGTTTTCCCAGTAAGACGATTATATCGCATTTGAGTTTAACTCCATGCACGCCAAAGCCTGTTCCCTCGTTAGTTTTAGATTCTTTTGTATACCATACAAGACCGCTAAGCAAGTATTTGTCTACCTCCTTATTTACCTCGTTCTAGTTGCAGTTGACCTGGAAGAGTCTGTTGAAGGTTGGGAGGGGTGTAATATGAGCTGATCCCATTAAAAGTTTCAGTTATCTAGTATGTATAATTATTCAAACTTGTAGGCAACCGAAATCGTTTTTCTATCCAAAATATCTGTACTCAATAGTACCCATATAAAGCAACTATTTACTTGAATCTATGTCATAACTTATTTACTTTATATAGTAATAAGTAACAAACACTTTTTCTTTTTCAGCAAATGACGATACCTACAGTGATTTGCGCATCCTTTTAGACTATGCACAACAAGTTATATGCCTTCCAATGATAGTAACAGATTTTTTGCTCAAGTACAACATAGCTCCCTTTGAAATCGCCATAATCCCTACAATTCTATCCCTCGTGACCCTATTTATGTTTGTAATATTGGAGTACAAACGTCAAGACTTGACGGACTTGAACATGATCCTTAGCCTGGCAATATATTCGATTTGTGGTATGGAGTATAACTTATACGCGTGCATAGCATCCATTTTCATAAGCATCGGTTATTTCGGATTTAAAAGAAGCGAGGGAGTGTGTATAAGAAAGGCTCATCAGTATAATTTGTTAATGACAGGTTTTGTCTTCTTTTCGTTATTGTCTATGGATACGGGTATATCACCTGATAAAATGTACGCTAAGCAGCTGCGAGGCTGGTGATCACTTTAAATAAACTTTATATTTTCAATTGTTTTATTTATTCCGTAGTAGATTTAAACAAGAAATGAAACAAAGATATAAATATAAAAAAAACCTAAGGAATACTTCTAAGCATCTAGGTACTGATCAAATTCAATTCCAAATATGGGAGTTTGGGGATAAACTGTCGAAAATCTGGTGAAAAATAAAATTAAGAATATTTTATACTATAATATCAACCAATCACAATCCTTTTTTATTCCAACATACTCCAATCAAAACAAACTGTATCTGAAAATACTGAATGGTGCAGTGTTTTCACTCAATCTCAGTGTTTTTTTTTTAAAGGTGACGAAATATGGATAAAAAATTATTTTGGCTGTTCAAATATTAATTTAATACCTAATTGTACTTAAAAGTTCTGTTTATAATGTTAAATAATCTTTCCAAATACCTCTTGTGGTATTATCCTCGATAAGTTTATTCATTTATTTTAATTACAACGCCCGATGGCACGGTCAAGAAGATATAGAACAGAAGGATATACAGAACAAATAAAAAATATAACAATATGCCTGCTGCCGGGTAAATCAAACCTTCTAGTCTGGTCTGGTCTGGTCTTTGTAAGAAGTAATAAAAAAAAATCTAATTTGATTAATAGATGGTGCTGAAAACCTGATAACTCCCGGAAAACTGATATCGTCCCCTTCGTCAAGAGTAGAAAACTCAACAAGATTTCGACAGCTTACCTTTACCGGAGAAACCATTAATTTTGTGGAGGAGATGAAATTTTTTGAATATTATTCTAGATAAGAAATTCACCTGGAACCTCCAATTGTAGTATATCCCTCTGGGCCCTCAGAAGGATATACTACCAAGCGAGTAGCTAGATTGTTTCCTTGGGAGGGAGGGAGGGAGGCTAACACTTCTCACATTATTGGAATTGGTGAATGCGCAGCGTGTTATCTTAAAATATGGTAACAATGCAACGTCTAGAGTTCATAAGTGTATTTCCAGAAAAAAGTGAGTTTTATAATGAAGTTTTTAATTTTTTGATTTATTTATACAGGGTGTTTCAGAATAAAGTACAGTAATTTTGGGGATTTGTAGATCTTATTCAATTATAAAGAAAAGCTAAATATAATTTTCCTATTAACGATCCAGTTTTCTTTCTACAGGGTGATAGAGTGAATTTCATAAATACATATTTTCTTTAAATATCTTCCCTTACAGTAAAGTCTTTAACTTAAAAATAGGTATATGTTAGTTAATCGTTATTATTAGTTAACCCACTCTATTTCGATAAATAACCATATTCCAATGGCGTAGAATCAAGGGCTGAGGAAATAAATTTATTCAAACCTTTTTGAACACCCTATATTTCAAAAAACTTAAGATTAATAATTATTTCACACGCCATTTGTCACAAAAAAAGGACTTCTGGTTGATCTTTGTAGACCATTCCATTTCCGAGGTGATAGAATTGTTTAAAAGAAATAAAGGACATAAAGGACATTACAGGATTCCATTATAAAAGTTATACCACCAGTTAATATAAAAACCAAATCAACATGGTCCATAAAATTATTATTTAAATACCCCAGAACCATGCTACTTGTTGGCCTACACAATCTGAGAATATTGAACATGAACATAACATTTGAATTATTACGCAGAAGTTGATCTAATCGCCATCTATCGCCAACTTAGTTAATTAATAGTTTTTGTTATAAATATTAAGGCGTGTAAATACCGTCTTAATTTATCCAATTCTTCAACAAAAATTTAATTTACTTCTTTTCCAAAGTTGAGTGGCCTCTATCGTTGAATACTATATTTAAATCGCAGTTAACAGTATCTAAAAATGTTACTAAAGAGAAATCTAATCAGCTTGCATTGACAAGTTCGCTGTCTTGGCAACAGATGGTAGGCGATGTACCTATAGCAGAAACAGAGAATTGAAAATTTGGGAAGGACGCACTTTGATCATTGTAGATTCAAATAATGTTTACCACTCACTATGTACTATTGTATATTTTGTAATTCAGGCGAGTATTTGCAAACTGGACAGTGGCGCATCCAGAGTTTAAGTCTGGGAGGGGGGTAGTGGTAATATTTAAGACTAAATTTTTGGATAATAATTCATTTTAGTACATATAAAAAGTTAGGTTTAAAAATACTTGGGGGTGATTACTCCAATTATCCTTCCTCGTATATGCGCCCTTGAAACTGGATTAAAAATATAAAAATATTAAAAACAACAAATATCTAGGTAAGGTAAAAAAATTGTAGGTTAACAATTTTTGAGGAAAAAGATATAGTATATTAGGTACACACCGAGGTGGGAAGAGTTTCATTCCTGTCGTGAGATTAGTTAGATCATTGTATAAAGAACTAAATAGTCTCACCTTATGGAAGTTTCATTGGAGCGAAATGGATACTACCAATAGATGGCGCTAGTGAATATGGATAAGTCGATATTCGTTTGCAGTGGGCGGAGTTGAGGGTCCAGCAGAAATTTTTGAAAATGACGAAGACCGATCGATGGATTTCTATTTTTAGCTCTTGGATGAAATTTTATACACTAGTGATTGAATGTTTGGACTATTTTCTATCTAATGTTTGTTATTATGCGTTAGTGCGTTTACGGGTAGTAGGTATTGTGAATGAGTTGTGTTTATGTTTTATTACTGAATTATTTTACTGTTAATAAAGGACGAGTTCCCAACAAGAGTAACTACATGATTTATATAAAAAAAATTTGTGTATTTATAACTGTTTTGAAATTAATAAAATAGAAAATATGCTTTTGTTTTTCTTTTCCTTTACAGGTTTTATCTGAATTAATTTAAAATAAATTATTTAATATTAATAATAGCAATAATAATACATTTCTTAAGTGTTGAAAACATTGTATTTTTAATTTAAATACATATACCTATAGGTAGGTAAGTAAGGTACCTACCTAAGTACTTAGCATAAGTAATTATAAACAACAGGTTATTTCTTTAATCTGGTGCGTAACAATATAATAAAAAAAACCCTTAAGATGGTTGGTAAATAATATAAATGAATTCTTAATATTGAAGTAAACACAATGGGTTCTATAAGGATTATTGGTTGGGGTTCGGCTTTGGGGGTTAGGGTCTAAATATTGAAACTAAACTTGGTATATGGATATATTATCCCATAAAAATAAAAATCGCTTTAAAAAATTCACCCCTCCCCACCCCTATCTTGAAAAAAATGTTCTTGAAAAAAATCACAACTATTATGTTTGATAATAAAATAATCCAAATAGGTAGTTTACAGCGAGAAAGAAAAAGTGTAAATATTTATAAGATATTCGACATAGATTATCTATGATATTCGACGTTTAATTAATCAGGAAAGAATAAAGATCATTTCGAAAATTGAATAAAATATATATCTATGCTATCCTTATTAAAAAATATTCATGTTAAATCCTGTGAAATATGCACACCACTGATATGGTCATTTGATGACATTTTTACAAAATTCGGTCAATGTAAACATTATACAATAATAATTATATCATAAAGGGAGGGTAATTTATAATGAATAACCCTGTTAGGTACCATAAATTTTCAGTAAAAAAATTTTAATTCGCACTTTTTTACGTAGATTAAAGAAAAATGTAATTTCGTGCGTTTTCTTGGTGCAGAAATTTTGCGACACACTGTATATTCAAATCCAAAATGATGTATTTTCTTTTAACACATACCTAATACAAATTTATTAGCAAAATTTAAATACTTGTTATTTTCGGTATATTTCTCCTTTAGACACACACATTTTTAGTTTCATTGTCAAAAGAATAAAATTACCGGACCTTATAATATTCTATTATAATTTAATGATCCCGAGTGACTATAGCAAAAAGACGAAATTTGAGCATGAAGATTTAGATGTCATTAACGTAAAATTCATGTAAAATTTTTACCAATTTAGAAAATAAAATTAAATAATAAAAAAAAGTGTCCACTCGTGGGTTTGAACTCGGAACCCTTCGATTCCTAGACAATCCAGTCCAATCCAAAACAAGTTTATTGAATTAATTTTACAATAAATATATACATGTAGAAAACAATCATTGTATTTCCCATTTCGTACAGTCTTCACAGTCTACAGTGCAGTACATGTCTTCTCTCCAGAAAGAGGCCCCATGTACCGTGGCTGGTGGAAGCCCTTCAGCAATACAACAATGTTTTCCACTCTAAATAAACAAGTACTCTAAATGTTCGTTATGAATACTTATGAAAAGGTTTTACTTTTTAACGCTGATAATCAGATTGCTTTAAGTTTCATTAAAATCTCAGTTTATTTCTAAATATAGACCAATATCTTGTGGAAGTATTGATCTCGAGACAGGAATGAAACTTCCTACCGAGGTTTGTATACTATTTTATTTACAACCATCATATTTCGATCAAAGTTAATAAATCTCTGTTTCGTTCTGAACATACCTAAAATATTACATTTAACGACAAATAACCAAGTGCGCGATTTTCTCAGAATAATCAAGTAGATATTGTTACTGTGATTACGGGGTAAACAACTGTCACCAATATAAATAAATACCAGATAAAGCCAGATATTAAATTCGCGAATAATAAATATCAATGGGGGGTGGGTTGGCTCAGTGGTTAGAGTCATGACTTTGAGATCGGAAGGTCTCAGGATCGAATCCCACCGTTGGCCGGGATTTTTTCATTTAATTTAATTATTTAAAATTAATTCTGATGCCTTGGTTGGATTCCCCGCACTCGACCATTCACTGTTGTGTTCTAATTAACAGTGCTATTCCTAAAGTGGCGCTGGGAAACAGTAACAAAGCCTACATAGAACACGAGGCTAATGGCCGTAGTAGTCGACGCCGGTGACACCAAATTAAAAAAAAAAAAATAATAATAAATAAATAAATATCAATAAGTAGTTTGTTATATTTTAGACCATTGTTGTTTTTTATTGTTTGCCATTAAATGGGTATTATAAAATTTGTCAAACAATGTGTTATTTTTTTTAAAT